TAATAATTATTAATTATAAATTATGTATTTTGTAAATTATAATTTTTGCCTTAAGGCAAACTAAAAGGCCTCTGCACAATATTAAACCTTTCAAACAAAATATATATATTTAAAAACAATTGAAAATTTATGATGAAAAGCGCAGATCATTATTAACTCTAGCAAAATAAAACGATGCTGGGTTTAAGAGCCCGGACACATAGAAAAACGTGAACAGTAAGCAAATCAACAGTCTTATATTGTATATGTTATTCCGTTACACCCCATTAATATTACCAAAATATTACTAGTTATACTAACATTGATCCAAGCGTGTTACGTAACAATTACACAATTTTTGTTACATAACTTTAACGCAAAAAAAATGTATAACAGTTATATTACTTGCATATAACAAATGTTAAATTGCATGTTTCTTCCATGTTATGTAGCCCTTACATATCACAAGAATAACATTGTGATATTACATGTAACTTCCATGTTATGTTGCCGTTATGAAATGTGTTCACTGGGGTGGTTTCGAAAACATCGTCGTTTGCTAGTGATTCGAGCATTGTGGGTTGTACGGAAGGCGCAGAGGTTATCGGTGGTTCATTCAATGGACCTTTCGATTGTTTCGATTTATGCGGTTGTAAAATTTTGATTATTCATTCAAATTAGATGGCACATTTATCGATCGTTTCAACGTAACTGGAGTTGAAGCCATTACAGAGTCGTTAAACGAGACGTTTGGTCGTTTTCGTTTGAGCTTTGGCTCTTCGTCTTCCCACGCCGTTTCATTCTCAATCTTCGACACATCAGATTTTTTGCCAACGGGTTTTGTACGTAAATTTAGTGCAACAATTTCCGAACGCGACACTATTTTATCGATGACTTCTTTATGATCATCGTCTTCATTGCTGAAGTAATCACTGTCGTCCGTTAACGCGCGATCCTCGTCGAAATTATTGTCTATCTCCATATTTTTTTATGCTCACTGTTACGAAAAAAAAACTTTTTTCCTTTATATTACCGCTCACTTGACACAAAAACTTCACCCCCAAGTATAAACGTTCGCGTTGCGAAAGCTAGCCAAAGACTGATTCGCAAGATGTGGATCCACAATCATCCTGGCGACAATGGATGCTATGCATCCATTTGTATAATTACCGTTAGGCATATTTTGTTTATACATTTCAGCAGCCGGACATTGGCGCTCGCTTTTTGTAATATGTCGCGTCATAACCGAATACCGCCGCGACGGTTAAATCGTATAATTGGCAGCGGTTCTTTCTAGAAAAAAACATGAAGAGGACTCCGCAACGGTTAAATCGTCATCGGCGAAAAATTTTATCAATTGTTTACCTCGGCTATTTTATTTTTAAACCGTCGTCCAACTGTCGGCGCTCGCTTTTGTAGTGTGAGACGCCGTAACCGAATGACGGCTCGCAAGTTCTAGAAGGGTGAGAAGGGATCATTGCAGAGGCAAGTGTCTCGCAATCTAACTCTCTATTTTGTTTATATTCGCCGATAAAATTCCAGCAGCCGAACGGCGCCCGCTAGCCTTTGTAATACGTCGCGCCATAACCGAATAGTGTAGCGAAATGGCGGCTCGCAAGTTTTAGAAGGGTGAAATCATTGCAGAGACAAGTGTCTCGCAATCTAACTCGCTATTTTGTTTATATTCACCGATAAAATTCCAGTAGCCAAACGGCGCCCGCTAGCCTTTGTAATACCCCCGCGCCATAACCGACGCGCGTCCCCCTCCCCGCGGACCCTTCGCTATAGAACGCGGACCTTCCCCCTTCTCCACGAACCCTCGCCCTAGAACGCAGACTCCCCCGCAAACCCTCACCTTAGAACGCAGACCCTCTCTCTCCACGAACCCCTCGCCCTAGAACCCTGACCATCCTCCCCCCC